GCCTTTCCTGCTGTCTTGAAATGCTTCAATGTGACCTCCATGCCGGCCTTGAAATTTCCTATTAGCAGGCCACGTGAACTGCACCGAATAGACAAACATACGGAAGGCAATCAGCACTCGTCGCTGTGGTCAGAGGGACTTAAAATCTTTGGAAATCTCATACGGATATGACCCGTTAGAAGCTTGGTACATTTCTCGATATTTGCCGGGATTGTTGACCAAGATCCTGTGATATGCCCTTGCCGGGGTACAATTGTTGATTGGCTGTACAACCTCCGAAAACCCCTTTAAACAAACACAAAATAGATATACATATACATATACATAATATTTGCCTTGCAATTATGAACTGTGCCCCATATTGACATCAATATAGATCAATATATTTGGTGAAACTTTCTAAAGGCACGATTGATGGAGGCCTCTGTGTCGAATATCAGAACATAAGAGATGATGTAATGACTAAGAGGTTGAACCCGCAAGCAATATATTTCTAGTTGAAAAGGTCTAATATACCATTAGAAGGAGAGGAGATAAAATGAATGAGCGGTAATTGAGGCCAAAAAAAATGACCAATACTGGCAGGGATCGGCATGAGGAGATGATGCACGGTTGGCCTTAAGTTATGCAATGTGGGATATATTTAGGCCAAGGATTTGAAGACTGATGTCAACGTGGAGAAACGACTTACCATGCTCTGAAGCTTACTCCATAGGCTAGGATCAATCGTCCCTGAGATTGCGAGTACACTCTGGTTTTATAATTAAGGAAAAATTCTTTCTAGGCTGAGTCATTGTCAACTTGATTACAATTATATTCGAAAAATATCATAGCGCTTCCATAATTACAGTGAAATTACAGACTTTTGTGCCCCGCAACTTTTGACCTGTTGAAAAGCGGTGTGCTCGGAAGTTCGAGTATATTTGACGTCAGATGGCCAGAGCTTTATCATGAACATACACATACCACGTATTGTATGAAGTGCTTCGTATTTATACAGGCTACCAGAACCACACCAACATACAACTCATAGGGGTAGCATGGATACATTGTAGATGCTCTTTGAGCGAGATACACACTGTAATGTAGAAGGCCCGCATTAATCATGTATATTTAATGACTTGGCATGATAGAACACTTGTAGAAAAGTGCTCAGGACTTTTTTTTTTTTCGGTATTACGATCTTGATAATACAGATATTTTTCTCCACAAGAACAAACTGCCCCGAACCTGACATCGAATCCGTGCATCGAGTGGCCAAGTTTCCACACGTGGTGTGGGACAGATCCGCACTCAAGCTGCTTTACCTACCTACAGTACAATATTCCGGGTACGTAGTTAAACGAAGCCCCAGATACATTCCGTACAGTAGGTAAAGCTCTAGCGTAACCTGGTTTTAGCAATTTAGCAATTAGTTAAAAGTACTTTGATCCATCCATAGTATCAACATGATACTGGCATCTCATATGAAAGGATGAATAGGGCTGATAAAAATAAAGAGAAAGGGAATGGAGGTGAGTGTATCTGACACGCTACAGTGACCATTTCAAAATAACTATATAGTCTGAAAACATCAGCGTAGGTGAACAAAAGTCCAAAACAAATATATTAGACCACCCTGCTCTCAGAAATCCTCTAAATATATTTATTCATATCTTACTATCATTGATTTATGTTATGTTGTGGTTTTTAGGACTCTTCCTATACCATTTGTTCGGATGAACTTTTGCCTCGTATCCTCAGGTTAACAGCTACAGGGGTCAACGCAGTGCAGGCTACGGACCAGAAATTAATGAAACCACCTTATCTTTCACGATCTATCTCTTATTGGCGTTAGGTAAGAATCAATGTATTTTCAGAACCGCATCTTCCTCACTTGGAAGGTTCTGATTCTGTGTCGTATCCATTACTGTATAGTTATTTTATGGCCATGCAGTCTAACATTTCGTTACTGCTCAGTGACAAGTGATAGTATCTGCATTGCTGATACGCGGGCTACTGTCCAAGTCCTATTTCCCGAGTGTCTTTCCTAATCTAGAAATGTAGCCGAAGCTCAGCTTCTCACGAGATCCGCCGACATCCTGTAACGAAAATGTAGGAGACTACTCTGATCAGAGGGTGTCTATACAATGTGAAGTACGGCTCAAAACCAACGCTTGTGGGTGGGAATAAGACATCATCTATAAGAGATGCTGTTGCATGTGTAGGAGTTCTTGCTATGAGTTACTATTAACTCCCACTACCGTTATAAAAATAATTCTTCCCTTTTCTGACTTTATTTGAAGCCACCTAAGACTAAGTAGTAGAACTAGTAATCCTTCTGTAAGCGTGCTAATGCAGAATTCGTAAAAACGGACCAACGTTCCTTGGAAACCAATGAGGGTGGCTGGTAGGCTTGTCACTGACAGGGTTAAATCCCGAGGGCGATTCGCCGGCTCTGGGTTGCACATGATGTGCGTCTCAGAAATTCGGGATGGCCGGATTTACACCGGCATACAAGAAAGTGATAAAAGAGTAAAAATAAAAATAAAAATGCCAAATAGAAAGAAAACAAAAATTGCCTTGATTAAATTTTATTGCGACATGTATCTTAAAAGAATGATCGATACAGAGTAGAAATGACACTGTGGTGGCATGTAGTGAATGTTTTTATGAAATATTAGTTCATGGTGAGTATACTACATACGTAGTACTAAATAGATAACCCATCCATAATTATCAGAATCATGGATTCCATATTTCTATCTTACATAAACCAAATCAAAGAAAAGTGGGGCCAAGCACGGTGACAATACGGAACCGTACGGGGCCACCTATGAATCGGTCGGTTGGTCTGATTGCCTCGCCGCCTCGACCGCTAAACGAGCCGCCGAGCCAGTCAGCTCGTCAGTGAACGCGTCCGGTACAAATGCCCCATCGCTCGCCCCTTCTCGTCGCTGCGGCTTTCTCTCTCTGCTTCCTCTCGTTGGTCATCCAGCCATCTCCAGTCCCTGCGTGCCCTCCAGTCATCAACTTAACTGGCCGCACAGAACCCATTGGCCATCTGCCATTTTCTTTTTTTTCCTACTCGTTCACGCTGGGGTTGGCTTCTGATCACTGATCCTTTCGTCCAACCCAATCGTTGTTTTCTTGCCCACCCCCCATCTCTTTTCTCCTCGTGATTGATCACTCCCGATCATTCTCATTTCGAAATTTCCACGGTTGTGGTCGAATCATCGTCCGTAGGTACGTGGAATATTGCTTGCCCCTTGCTCAACGTCGTGTGGTTTTGTTTTGACTTGACTCCATTTTGTTTTATCTTATCATTTTCATGCTTGATCCTGCTTTATGATTTGAGCACCTTATTCTGGTCTGCACCCAATCCCATTACACTGTCCCTCTTCCCGAAGCCGACTCCGACAAATCCCATCACTTTCTGCGCCTGTTGTATTCTCCAACTACCGCGCGCCCATTCTTCCCCCTCGTTGTTGGCCTTCCATCCTCCCTCATTTACACCACTGTCTTTTGTACCCCACGAATCATATTGCTTTGCATCCGCCTGCAACTGTTTCCCCATACTGCTTTGTCTCCCCTACAACAACGCGCGCTTGCCTAGAGCTGAAAACCTGGTTCGCTTCTTGTTGGGCCGTTCACGGATCAATCCGGACCGGACTGACATCAGCGGCAGCCCACAATCGCGGCGCGGAATCAGCTTTGTGCTGCCCGCCGTCTTGTTGGTAGAGGTCGCGCTCTCCTCACCCCACGAATCATCATCCCTCCCAGAACTTCCCGTGACTGGAGGCTGTGGTCAAGTCCCATCGCGTCCCTTTTGCCTCATCACTTGGTATAGGGATACTCTTCTGCCGCCCCAGGTAATTAATAGCCTCTCAATGTGGCCCGTGTTGTTTTGCCTTTCACCTTGATGACGGCCAGCAAATCGCGACCGTTTTTACCTCGTTATCTACCTTGCTATCCATTTGCAAAACAAAACAATGACCCGACAGCAATGTCGCATGTATTCAAAGTATATTTCATTTTACGATTCCCGCGGGGCTCTATGCTGGCTTATGACTCCCCATGTTTATCGTCGTCGCGTTCTGCTTCTATTATGATCCCATATTCCCCACCCCATGATGGTCCAATCAACACGCGTCCGCGCTTTATTTACTTTGTTTTGCACAGTATTCTGACGACCCCAGTCCTCTCCATAGACGCGCAGGCCCTTTTACATCGCAAACTGGAAACCAGTTTTCGAATTGTTTAGGACCGTTGTTTACGCGCGCGCGAAATCGCCCGCTTTCCTTGCACGTAGCGGTGATTGCGTCGCATCTTGACAAGGTATGTTGCCGGCTGCATCATACTTCCCGCTTGCCAACGCATACATCCTTCAGCCCTGAATAGACTAAACCGCCACGATATCACCTTCCCCTCCCCCACCACTTGCACAGACTCCCTGCCATGACAGCGCACAAATCAGCAGCTGAAAGTTCCAGTTGGTGGAGAAAATGAATGCTGATAGTTTTTTTTGTAGTTTGATCTAGTCGTGCAGACCATCTTTTAGGTTTGTTCTGGTATAGGTCCCCTCTTGAGTCGCATTATAGTCGCGGGAACCGGAAGCTAGGATAGCCTCATCCACCTGGCACAAAATTTTGCTAGGCCACGCTGGTAGCACCGCCTCATATCGCTATCTTTTGTTTCAGCCCCGCCTAATACGGACGTGGCCGAGGAGCCTGATCAAACAAGGATCAGAACCATATTACGGAAGGTAGCCTGCCAGTTGTCGCCTCAAACTCTGCGTAGCTTTTTTTTTTTTTATTTTTTTAATTTTTTTCCCTGCTTCTGCCCCTCCCTTGTTTGCCCCGTGCTGGCGACAGAAGATCGTGCGTCATTAGCAAGAGCATCGCATTTCGTCTGACAACGCATCAAGTGCGACATACTGCCGAGGGCACCCTGGTCCGCTGCATTAGAGCCCAACCACGTTACACCTGAGGTGAACGTAAAAAGGATTCGCACAAAAGACTCTTCGTCTCCAGAAGTTGTTCGAAGTTATTTCGGCAAACAAGCGTTGATTTTGGGTGAAGTATTTTTTTTTCTCGCCGATAGTTGAACTCTGTATCGGCAAAACAGAACCCCAGGTAAGCGCCCCGGTGCAAGCGCCTTGTCTCCATTCAACCCCACTGGAAGATCCAGTGACTGGTCAACGCTGCGCTCCGTGCTGACATTAGTGAGCGCCTGCAGACTTGCACATTTAACTCGTCGAATCATCACTTGCAAAGAGCAGCTACTCTCCGCGGCTGTCCCTCTTGTGCGCGACCGTGATATCCCTTGAGTGCAACAGCGCTTCCACATCCTATCACCCTTTGATCTCTTCTACCTTATTCTAAATAGGTAGCGTATATCCACCAATTGCTCACAGCCGTCGTTGTCATTGGTTCTAGATACTTGGTGCCTGACAGCTGCATCGGTCCAATCACGGGTCTCATTGGAAGCGTGACGGGAAGCGCCGTCGCGACTCCATGATGGAATATCCTCCACAATATCAACAGCCTCATGGCCAACATCCCCATGCCCCCTCCCACATCGCTGCCCCGTATCAGGCCGGACCCCAGAACCCAGGCTCAACGGTGGCTTCGATGACCTCTCCCACCAATCCCCAGGCACATATGCAGCAAGCCCATCCTACGCATCAGGCTTCTCCCATTGTCCCATCGCAGTCTCATTATCAACAAGCACAGAATGCGCCGGGCTCAGTACACCAGCAGATGAACTTCCCTCAATCCTACGGGGTAACTACAGCAATGCCCCAGACGTACGGCATCTCGCCAACACAGGCAGCGGCTATGGCTACTGCGGCAGCGTCTGGGCAATTCTACCCTCTGCATCAGGACTCAATGGCGGGTCAAATGCCGCAAGGGCCTCGTGGCTCGCCGCGTATGGCTGGAGTTCAACAGGTGAAGAATGAGCGGAATCCACGCTCGCCACCGCAAATGCCAGGGCAAATGCCTTCCATGAGTTCACAAGTACAGATGCAGCAGAATGCTCAGATGCAGCAGCGTCGCATGAGCCATGTTGGCAGCCCCCACGTTCAAACTGCTCAGCCGGTCCTTAATCACGTTGGTCGGCCTTCAGTACCTCCACCTATGCCGCCTCCGCCTCAGCCTGCGGTGCAACAAAGTCAACCTTCCCCAGAGATGGCTGTTGGCGCCGTGGAGGAGTCTCCTCTTTATGTTAACGCAAAGCAATTCCACCGCATTTTGAAACGACGCGTTGCTAGGCAAAAGTTGGAGGAACAACTCCGCCTCACGTCCAAGGGCCGTAAGCCATATCTGCATGAGTCGCGTCACAATCATGCTATGCGGCGGCCACGCGGTCCGGGCGGTCGATTCCTGACGGCAGACGAAGTCGCTAACCTGGAGAAGAAGAATACCGCGGGTGGACAAGAGAATGTCGATAGCAAGCCGACCGGTGAGAATCCTCCGTCGGCACAGAAAAGAAAATCTAGTGATGTTAACGATGAGAACACGAACTCAGCGAAGAAGGCGAAAACTAGCGTTGCGAAAACGAGCACCAGCGCTGAGGAGAGCGAACATGAATCCGCCGAGCCATCTGATGAGGATGGTTGAACGATATGTCGAGGCAAATATTGCTTTTCATATTATTAGCGCGTCTTTGTCCGCTTTTGATTTTTTTTTCATTTCTTCGTACCTATTCATCCTTATGATTTTATGGATGAATTTATTTATGTTTTCTTTTGTAGCGAGCGATGTGTGACAACTCACCTATCACGTTTCTACTACCATTATCCGACAGCAACCAGTGTTATGTCTGTTTATATCGTTATGTTATGTTGGTACGAAGTTTCCTATTGTTTTCCAAAGAAACCTGTTTATGTTTACTTTACCGGGAACGCATGTATGGAATGAATGTTTTGATGGCCCTCTCATTTTTGTTATTGTTTTTCTTGGTTTTTTTTCTTTTTTTTCTTTTTTTTCCTATCTGCACCATTCCCAATTCTTGAGATGGTCAAACTCTTGGATGATCCATGATGCCCAACACGTCATGCCTTTAGCTAAATGCCGAATTCAGCCTTACTCAGATTGATCGACCTGCTCCTGAAGGTTGATTATGAGATGAGTTTTGGGCACAGATATCACTATGATGCAGTTATGTGGAAGTTGGCATTGTTCCAATGCCACTAAATATTGCCGCACACTGCTGCAGTCATCATTACTTTTCTCCCTCGACTTGTCCCTGTCTTTTGATTTCTCCCCACTGGGCTTCTGGGTGGGACCTAGAGAGGAGTCGAACATTGGTAAAAATTACTCCACAGGGATACTTGCGGCGAAGCAAGAAACAGGTTGGCGTTTCTTAATAGTGTCGTACAAGGGACGCGGTCTGTGAGTCTTTAAAGCACAGCTGTGGATTGCTTGCCTACAGTGAGTTTCATTTGGTTATGGTGTGATGAAAGCATGGGAATAAACCCCCCTCGCCGCGCCCCCTCCAAAAAAAGAAAGAAAACAGGAAGAGGGAAAAGGAAGAAGATCTAAAGGTGGTTGAGCGTCCATTGTCGGTTCTCATTCGCTTCCCCTTCATTGTTGTGTGGTCCTTTCTTTTCTTTTCTTTTCTTTCTTTTTACTATTTTCCGCCTTTCATCCTTTCATGGGGTATTTGTATTGTTCTCATGTTTTTTTTTGACGGATGATTCCCCCTAGTCGTGTACAAATATCAGGACATACTTCTCGGCATTGCTAGCTTGGGTGTCTGGGTCAACGACTCGGCACTGAGCAAATAGCTGTCTTGTGAATACAAATTAGAATAAGTAGATTTGAGCCATCGAGATTGACTTATGGAAACCATATGTTGTGGTGCATGTAAGAGCTCCCCAGATAACAATCATTATGTCAATCAGATATCGACCCATCCCAGCCGACATATGCCTAACCTCTTCTGGTTTAGGAGCGGCTGTCCCGTCCTCCAACTTTTCGTCTCCAGCCTCATGTGATTAGTCATTCTCATTCCATTCCTCACTTGCCTTCAGCTCCCAGCTTTCCGCTTCCTCTCCCCAACTGTCCGGCCCTATCCCCCGGTTCAGCCATCTTATTCCCATTCGAGTCCGTTGGATTGGACGTGATCAGGGATTATTCACATCTGGTTGTATTGCATCCATCCATCCTTCTTATAAGGCTTCTTGTAGGTCGCCTGTCTAGCCCTCTTTTATCGTGTTCACTGCAGTCACCACCGCCCTTGTCTCTCATCTAACCCCCTTTCCCTGGTTAATCTTGTGACTCTATCAAAACACACCACCTCATCTTAACTTAGACCAATCCTTGACACCTACTCCGCTCACTGCTCTTTTCTCCTATATTCTGAAGTCGTCGGTTTATTCGTCGCGCCCTCATTGGCCCACGAGACCTTCTGTGCTTCTTGCAATTTGTGCACCCGTCTCTTTCTTTATCCTCTTTCTCTAGCTCTCGCGAGCGCGCTGCTTTCTTATATTTCGTTTTTTTCGGGTCAATTCTTGTCATTATATGAGAAACAAAATGCCTTTCCTGCATCCATTTTTTCGCTTGGCGGGCTTCAGCTCCAGCTTCATCGTTTTTCAGCATATCCCGTTTCTTTACCCTTCGTCAACGTCCAAGCTGCCAGACACCCCTGTGAAATGAAATGATCTGCTCTAATGTTAATGGTCTCCGGTCTTAGCTTACGTTTACGGTTCCCAACGTCTCTGCGAACCTTCCGGCTGTCCGACTACGCTTGATCGACCTATTAATCGGCATCCGTGTCGCATATTGTTTTGGCCGTGGTCTTAGATTGGACTCGCGGGTTCTAATACAGCGACCTGTGATTTCTCATTTTCTTCCAGATGGATTCTTATGATGGTTATGGGTCTCCCGGAAGGGCCCGTGAAGGGGACCCTTACGCATCTAGGGCGCCAGTTGATTCTTACAGACGCAGGACACCTAGTAAGTAGCTAGTGGACCAATTCTCGCTTCATAGTAACATTGCATAACCCCGAAGCTGCTGTAGCATCTCAGGACCGTCGTCGTGGACGTGGCCGTTCCCGCTCGCCTGCTATGATTGATCGTTATGAACCCTCTGATCGCAGGGCTTCCCGAGATGACTATTACACCGCATCCCGTGAACACACTACACGAGATCGGGATGAGCGTCGCCGTGCTCATTCCCCGAATGTTGCGAATATCGATCGTTACGTCCCTGGACAAGACTCGGGGAAGCGACCAATTCCAACGAATCCGCTCCCCAATCCCTTGAATCTCGATTTCCAAGTCGGATTTAACTGGTTTGCGGAGTGGTGGCGCGCTGAACAGTCGATCAAGGAGGAAAAAGAACGTGCAAAGCATGGCGGACGTCGCCCCTCGGATCGTGTCAAGGGAGAGCGCGAAGCTCGCGAAGACCGGGAAAAGGAGAGGGCGCAGATCCAGGCCGCTTATGATGCCTACAAGGTAGATCTCCAGATCAAGATGGCCAGGACATTTGTGCAGCAACATCGAAACGAGGAATGGTTCAAAGAACGTTATGTCCCACAAGTCCGGGACCCCCTCCGTCGTCGCCTGATGGACTTCCGCACCGGTGCTTACGAACAATGGGAACATGATCTAGATGGTGGGCTGTTTGATGAATTTACCCTAGAGGGCATCTACAAAAGTGAAAGCGACGGAGCGGGTGGCGTCATTGAGAAGGAAGAAGGTGAAACCACGGCTGTTGGTGAGACTCTTGGTGTTTTGGACTTGCTCCCAACCCGGGGTGGAGAGCTTCGGGATGAAGCTCTGTCTCAACCAGCCTTACTCATCAAGACTTTAGCACCAAATGTGAGTCGTGACAAGATAGAGGACTTCTGTAGAGAACATTTGGGAGAGCAAGAAGGTGGATTCAAATGGCTCAGTCTCAGCGATCCAAATCCTTCCAAAAAGTACCATCGGATGGGTTGGATTATGTTGCATCCTGCTCCGGATGTTGCCGTCGTCGAGAGAGGGGATGGAAGGGAAGAAGAGGGTGAGGATATGGAGCACGACAAGGCTACCAATGGAGCTGTGAGCGTGACTGCCGCTGAAAAGGCACTTGAAGCGATCAATGACAAAACTATACACGACCCAGTCCACGGAGACTTTGTTTGTCATGTTGGTGTCCATGTACCACCGTCCCAACCCCGCAAAAAGGCATTATGGGACTTGTTCTCAGCCCCGGAGCGTATTGAGCGGGACTTGGAGTTGGCCCGGCGCTTGGTATCAAGACTTGATTCAGAGATGGGCGGAAATGCAGACGGTTATACCAAGATCGAAGAACGCGTGGAAGAATTACGTGGAAAGGGATGGTTGCAACCACCTGTCACAGGCCCTGTGAGTGTGAAGAAAAGAAGAACTGAATATGATGCGGACGATATGGATGAGGGCGAAGCAGAAGAAGGTGAGGAGCAGGAAGGCTGGGAAGATGACGAAGTGGATGACGAGGAACTCCTCGCGAAGAAAAAGAAATTGGACCTGATGGTAGAATACCTACGTAGGGTCTATAATTTCTGCTTCTTCTGCGTTTTTGAGAGCGACTCAGTCCATGAACTTGCTCGAAAGTGCCCCGGCGGCCATCTTCGGCGGCCACGTGCTGGCCTCACTACACAGTCCAAAGCTGTAGCTCGAGCGAGCGCCCTCGGTCAGCCTTTCCCTACTAAGAAGAAGGAACCGAGCGAAGAAGGAGAAGAACAGCCATCCGTCGAGGAAAAACGACCACAACGTTTTAGTTCGAAGTCAGAACAACAGCTACAGCGCGCGTTCAACTGGGTTAAGACATTCGAGGATAAACTTCTACAGCTTCTGGAACCGGAAAACGTGGATATTCGGAAGCTGGGCGGCAAACCTGTCGATGAGGCGCTGGAAGAAGAGTTAGCGAAGCACGTCAAGCAGGAGGACGAATCCAAATACCGTTGCAAGGTACCTGAATGCAGCAAGTTGTTCAAGGCGGACCATTTCTGGCGCAAACACGTGGAAAAGCGTCATACAGAATGGTTCGAGAATATCAGCAGTGACGTAAGTTCTAGGTTCTGAGACCTCAATACGATGCTAGACTAATCATGTGACAGCTCTCTTTGGTGAATGCCTATGTGCTGGACCCTGCTCGTATTGCGCCGTCTCGCTCCGATGCAAACAGCAATGGCCATTTTCCTCTCAGCTCTGGTCAAAGCCAAGCTGGTACTCCTCGTGGCTTTAGCCTGGCTTCCATGCCGCCGTACATCGGACATAATGGCAATGTCCCTGGTGGTTTCCAGAATTTGCCAGGGGCCGGCTTGCCCAGTATGATGGGTGTCCCGAATCAAGCTGGTTCTTGGAGTGGGAATGGGTTGGTCTCCGGGGATCACTCTGGCCTGCACCAGCCAGGTGCCATGCGTCGTAATAACCGTTACAATCGTTCAGGACCATATGATCGTCGTGGACCTCGACATGGCGGCGCAGGGAACGGCCGTCTGAGCCCAGTTCGCGGTATGTCGGGCATGTATGGCTCTGGTCGTCTTCCAGCTAACGCTGGCACCCCGTACATTCCCCCTGGCCATCCAGCCGCGGCGGCTTTTGCTGGGGCAGGAGGTTTTGCTGATGCTATGGGAGCTGGCACTGCCCAACAAGCGATGGGCCCCCGGGAAGCCGTTCAAGGTCGCAGTCTTAAGAGTTATGAGGACCTTGATGCGGTTGGTGGAGCCGGAAGCGGCGAATTGAACTATTGAGTAAAAGAACTCTCATAAACTCTCCTTTATTAAGTTTCGTTTCTTTGAACTACGGCGTCAACAGGTTTTTGTGTCTGCATTTCGTTGATTCAGGCTGACATATTGGGTTCAATATCTCTGCGCTTTCTTGTTCACCATATTTGGTTTTATCACAGCACACTGAATTTCTTTTTCCTATCCGTCTTCTGGTCGCTGGTGCGTTACATAGTCGTGAGTGATGGACTGAACTCCATAGCTTGCGACAACACTGTACTTGCCAAACTCTGTCATTCCCAAACTTGCTCGAGGTTTAAAACATGGTGGTATCTACTTCGAAATTTGCAACCTTGTTTCTGTTTTCCTTCTCTGCTTTCTTTTTTATTGTACTATAGTTTCCTCTTCAAACCAAAGTAACAGGGGTCAATGAACTACTCTTTCTACTTACGCCGTCTGCGTGACAAGTCTTACTGTAACCGCTTGGCTCTCAATACTGTACTTCAGAGCGGATAGTGATTTTGTATATGGCAGAATAATGTGTGCCCTGCTAGATATCTTCATTGCACTCGATATATCCATATTACTTTCTCTATATGTCGTTATATGTACAAGTGGTGTCGCTCAGAATGGGTCGCCGTCAAATTCGTGTACTATGTGCCGCCAATTACTTTATCATATCAGGGCATCTGGATAACTACGTCATCCCGACTATCCCGCCACTGAGCGCCCATCTTGCGAATCCGGCGCTCGCTAGCCAGGAACAGGAGGAGATATATATGAGAAGCTATTTCGCCCCATGCATAGGTTTTGAGAGTCAGCTGACGGGTATCCACTTCGCGTAGCGCTGACTCCTGGGTATTGTGTGGAAGTTGGACACTCAGCAAATCTTCTAGTATGCACCATACTCCCCAGCCTGCACGGCCTTCTTTGATGAATTCCGACAAGAATGACCAGAAGCGACAGAACATGGGCATGTCCCAAATGTAAGCTCCGTTGCTTTCCTGCCAAGGGATAATGGAATCATGCGCCCCGGCCTCCACGACGTTAATGCGGAGATACCAATGTCCTCTTTCTAATTTGTCTAGCTCTCTAATCTGTTCGAGAGGTCTGTATGTCCGGCTCTTCAGACGAGCGGCTAGCATTTTTAAAGTTGGTGTGATATGTGTTGTGAACTTTTCTTTCGATATGGGAGGTAGTGGAGGTCTGATTTCCACGGGAACAGGAAAGGTTGTGCCAACGAATGTCGACAGAACTGTGGACTGAACAGTGGAATCGCCGATCTGAGTGGCATTAGCTTCGTCGTTTGTGTACGGGCTATGACGCATTTTCTTTCGACCACTTATGAGCCGCGACGAATCTTTTTGATATCGTTTTGCACAAGTTAAATTTGCAGAGCATGGGAAGCTCTGAGCTCCAATGATAGATAGCTGATGCTCAACATCCTGCAGGTTGTCGGTGTCCGAAGATGGTCTTCCGGGTTGAGAATCCGGAATGACACTAACTGGAGTATCGAGGTAGTCTTTTGGGGAGCAATCATGTGACTGGTAATTAGGCAGTTCATGCTCCTCGTACCAGATGGTTTTATTAGATATAGTAATGGCCTGATTATCGGAGGTATCATTAGTAGGAATCACGGGTTCTTGGAGTGGCGTGTTGTTGGATGGTAATTGGGGCCGGGAGAGTCCGTCGCTAGTAGCGGTAGAGGTGGTATAATCATGGTCATTATTGGTGTCGTCCGGTTTCAAAGTTAGAACTTGGCGTGAAGCACTCTGGAAGCCGAGAATAGCTTCAACCTGAGCACGGTAGTGGGCGTCGTCGCTCACCCCACACGGCGCTGAGATGTGGACAAGGATCTCCGAATTTTCCATGACATCAGTGGATAAGGCGACTGCAACATGGTGGAGTGATCTCTTTCACATTCTTTACTTCAGATAAATCCTGCAGGAAGTTTCTTTGACATTGTGGTAGTTTAGTGGAAGGTCGCCAAAAGCAATGATAATGGATTGTGAAGAAAAGAGAGAGAAGGCCTAAAGGAGTATAGCTCAGTTCGAGTCATGCGGAAGTGGGGTGACTTCTCAAGATGGTAAAAATGCCAACTTTGGGTTTGAGATCAACATCAATAGTTCAATAACATTGGATCCTCTCAGCCCTCATCTCGATCTCTTGCCTAGCTCTACGTGGTGATTCGGCTGCCAGGAACCATCGACTATGATTTTCATTGTTAGTACCAGCATCTTGGTCACGCTCTTGGGAGTCAGCGTCGAGCTGTCGAGAATAATACCTATCCACCCCAAGGAGATCTCCATCTAAACGTGCCATTGTCTACTCCATATGATCTACGCAAGACTTAAAAAATAAAGGAGGTATCGAGGAGAAAACGACGGAAAAAAAAAAAAAAAAAAGAGTTACGAGCCGGTCCTCGATTACGCGGGTACTCTATTTTCTTTTTTCTTTGGCAGGGTACACTGGTGATACTACGTCCAAGTGCGGAGTATAGTACACATTGGAGCCCCAGTTAAAATTTCCGCCCTGACAAGGATAGATACGAAGCAGCGGCGAAGTGTCTAGGTAGGGTGCGACGAATGTCAATCGGATGACATGATCATGGGGATCCCGAGGTGACATTCTCTCGAATGATGGGTACAGAATACAGACGATGCTTGGGAAGTACTCAAGAAGTCTGGCAAAGGCCATGCATGTCATGTATGTATGTATGTATGTATGTATGTACAACTGGTACATACAACTGCTGTGCGCGGCCAGACTACTCGGCACGAGAAAGTTCTATTTTTTTCGTTTCTTGTTCTCCCCCTATGGCTGGTTACTGGTACCAATTGAGTCGACGGAAAGAGCGTTGGGGATCCCGGCGAGGGACCCATCTTTACCCACTTGGTACCATACCGGCACCAAAAATTCCCAAGCTCTCAATGGCCCTAATGATACGATGGGGCTCGTCAATCGGAAACACTCGAAAGAGACAGAATGACCAGTCCAATCGTCGATACTTCGTACCATTTTGCCTCTATACATCGAAGGCAACCGTTGCCCCCAAAGCTAAAAAGAGAATGAGATATTGGATAGTTCACATAAGGGTGACCATTACATTTGCCTGTCATGCATACAATACATTTACGATTGATATTGAGGGACGGTTTCACCGTCAGCAGGGTAGCAATCACGAGAAGATGGCGGGTGTAACTCCCATAATTCGGGGAATTCGATTGGTATAGAGGCGATGATTGATTCGTGACAACTTTTAGTCTTGACTTATGTATCGAATGTGGCTGTCGAGCGCTCTACAGGTAAATACCTAGTCAATATTTCGCTAGGGAGGGATGTTACCTATACATCCTTGCAGGGAGCCTCAGGAGAAGTTTCCCTGAGTCCAAAAAGGGAGCGAATGGAATATGGAAAAGGAAAAAAAAAGAAAGAAAGAAAGAAAGAAAGAAAGAAAGAAAAAAAAGGGAGAGATCTCCACGACGAGATCGGTGCTCTTTTCGGGCTTCATGGTGCATGGGTGAGTCCGGTTTTACCCTCCACCACGGGTGGATGCATTCTTGCTTTTTCTCCTAGGAACAGAGTCTTCCAATCAATTCAGCCGATCGCAAATGTGGGTATTACACCATTACATTGAACTACCTGAGTATGTACGGAGTACTACTACAATACCTTACCTGAAACGAAATCCGATCTTTTCAACACGCAGTCTATCTCTGATCCGAGTGGCAGGAGAGCTTACTAGAACCAAACTCAAGCAAGATTCGTGAGAATTCATTCATTCCCTTCTCTCTATCCATATCTCTTTGAGACTAATTTATTTTATTATTATTTTCCCCCCTCCCCCGGAGGGTCACCACCCTTTCAGAATACTGATCGACTTATTAATTTTCCTCTTTACTAGTACACTATCGAATATCTTAAGCGACATGTACTAAAAAAAGGACTTTTATTATTTTATTTTATTACAATCTTCTCATTTAAGCAGTCCCAAGTCGAAAGGGACGGCGATTCGGCTTTATTCGTTGTTTCAGGAGCCGGAGAAAGAAAACAAACGGATCTTCTTCCATCCAGCTTGCGCAAAGACCAAGCCAAACTGGGGCCGCTGAAGAACGGGTGACCAGAACCATTGAACCAATAAGCCAACACTTTACCGGTGGAAATCGAGCCCGCTTGACAGGGACTCCAAGTCGAATTGTACCGCGGTCGCTACCACTGATTTCTTAGCCTTCATCCACACTGTCAACTGACGGACGGTACCTTGTCCCACATCCTCTCTGTTTGTGCGTCTCGATTTCTTACGCTTCTTCCCTCCTTCTCTCCCCCCACATCCCTTTTAGAGCTCTTAGTACCTTTACATCTCTCTTTCCTCTATCGTCCTTTCATGGTGTGAGTAGGACTCCCATGGTTATAGCTCGTGTCTAAACTCAATTCACAGTTGGACGCCTAGGGGGGAAGCAATCAGGCCTACCCACTGCGTATAGATGTATGTACATACTTACCACCAACGGTAAGGGCGCTTGGACGAAGCGAATCCACTTTATTGAGAGTAGTTCATTTCAAGGCTGACAACGGTCGCAGATGTTCATGACCGTCACAATAATAACCTAGCCTCTAGACTCATTCAGATCCTAATCCACTGGACCCGTCCGTTCCTTTCTACCGGTGTCTTTTCCCTTGTCTTCACGCCGGTCGCATTCCACATCACTTTTCTCTTCACACACTCACTCCCAACCATCATGGCTTCTCTGAATGAAGGAGTCTTGCCTTTGGATGCAGATGCATTAAATCGGCACAATGATGAACTCAATGGTAAGTGCCTGATGCAGTTGATATCGCATTTGTGGCTTGTTATTATATGTGTGGTTTAAAGATAATCCTGAAGTTTTTCGGAGCCCTGCTGTCGCTCGAGATGAAATGCGATTCTGCTTGGCGAGTGCTTTGCTAGACTTCATATATTGTTAACCCAGCTCCATGATTATATGCTTTCTCACTATATTTTTCTTTCTTTTCTTGTTCTTCTCTCTCTCTCTCTCTCTCTCTCTCTCTCTCTCTCTCTATATATCTCGCATTTCGACGCAGCAGGCACGACTTTACCTAGCGATCATTGGGCTCTAGTTGCGCTTCGTCGTTGTTTGATCACTGACTCGAGACCATGATAGGCCGACAATCACAAGGCAGTTTAATGAAGGCGTCTATGGGAACAGAATGGTTTAAGTTTTTCGCAGGTGGACAAAAAAAGGTTACACGAGGTATGCGCCTTGCTTCCTTGGTCTCTAATAGGGTACTGACTTCTGCCGATCCAGATGGTCAACCACCAAAACGACGGGGCCCAAAACCGGATAGTAAGCCGGCCCTTACAAGGCGCCAGGAATTGAATCGTCAGGCGCAAAGGTATGTCGACAATGCGGACTCGGCCTCGTGATTATATACCAACCGTGGCGGTTTAGGACACATCGCGAACGCAAGGAACAGTATATGCGAGCGCTAGAGACTGAAGTCTCGCGATTACGAGAGGCCTACACAGAAGAGATATCTGCGGCGAATTTGACTGTCCACAAACATCGAGAGAGGGTCCAATCATTATCCGAGGAGAACAACATATTGAAAGAAATTCTAGCCGCACATGGCATCAACTATGAAGCGGAGGTGGCACGTCGCAAGGCAGAACGCACAAGTCCAATAAACGCAACGTATCAGTCTAGTCCTTTTGCCAGTAGCAGTGTTGGATCGCAGCCTGCAGCTGCCGCGCAGTCAGCTCCATCAACTCAACACGCTTACACGACGCCACCCACGACCATATCAGCCCCGTCTTCTAGTCTAAGTCCTATTGTAAACGGGATAGAACACATCGACGTCTCACCAACTCAAGAGCTATCGCCTCAGCATCAAAATTACAGCGCTACTCCCTGCGATGCCTTGGCAACTCTTGACTGGATAGCACCAGCGAGTCGCCAGCCTAATCAGCCACCGGGTATCTTTGAGAATGATCCTCAGCTGCAAATTGACTTTATTCTGACGTACGCTTCCCCTCACTTCTGGTTTTTCTGCTGCTTTTCCGCTCCTCCATAACTGATCAATTAATAGGTTAGAATCACCATGTCGCGAACATACCGACTACCTTTGTCGAAGATCCATTACGGAGGCCGACGACGAGAATATGCCTTTCTCCGGACACGCATTAATGGCCTCCTGTCCACCACCCAGTTATATTGCCAACACAACCCACGAACAAGCCTACCCACATCAGACGTATGATCTTCCACATGCCAATCTGACAACACTGCTCAATCTAAGTCGACAGCTTGTGACCGATGGCCAAATTACACCAATCATGGCCCTCCAATGGTTGAAAAACCATGAAATGTATCGCTCGTTGACCAGAGATGACATAAAGGTTGTAATCGAGACGCTCAACACCAAAGTTAGGTGTTATGGGTTTGGAGCGGTGGTGGAAGACTTCGAGCTTATGGACTGTCTGAGCAGTGTCATCGGATCCAGGGTCGACATGGGATTCTCCCGCGCCGGCGATGACACGCTGTATTCATAATGCCATGACATGAGGAGTTAAAGTGCTTTTACCCCAGGCTTTGGGTGGGTGGTGAGGGTGTATATAGAAGCTTCGTGAACATTGTTTTCTTTCGGCTACGATTTGCTGATGCATTGATGTAGAGCCTTGGTGTAAATCATCCTTCTGTTTGACTCTCGGCGTTGGCAGAGAATTTTCTCCTTGTTTCATCTTGTAACTTTTTGGGTCATTAAAAATTGGCAGCTGTTTTCCTACAGTTAGGCATGATTGCGGTGTGGCTTGTTAGGCAGCGCATTTTTCTGGACGTGACATTACCCAAGCAATCATATATACTTATGCATAAGAGATTGGACGGTATCAACTCTATAATCACACAGAAAATTCATCCTCAATTCCTATATCCCGCGCCACGTCCTTCGCTAAGTCTCTAAAATCCTCCCCATTCCGAATCCTCCCCACAATATGCCAAACTAGATCCTCCGACCCCAACCTCAGAGCCGAGTACACAATCTCCATAGCAGCGGCCTCCTCCTCCTCTTCGAGATCATCGAATGATGACTGATATGCCAAACGCTGCGCTATTTGTTCCCGTATTTGGTTCACCTTGCCCCTGAGCACGGTGATCATTTCTGCCTGTGCGATCGCCTGTCGATCTTCATTCGGAGCACTATATTTGCATTCCTCCTGGATCCCTCGTGTAATGCAGGCTTCACACGGAGAGAGGCGATTACACTACGGAACGTCGGTAAGTGGACGCCAAGGTATATTGGTGGTGGGGGATGATACGGCATCGTATTAAAACAAACCAACATACCTTCACTTTGCGGGTTCGACATGGGTGACATGAGGCCGTTGCCCGGGGTTTGGATTTGTGGCTCGTTCCTACGTCCATAGTACTTTCTATCGTTCTATTTTTGGCTTTTCTTCAAAAAGACAATATTCCAAGTTGTCATTGTTTGAGTAAAAAGGGACCGGTTGGGGGGGGGGGTTTTTAGTGATAGATGCATGCAGCAAGTAATCTCTCCATTCTACGAAATAAGCTCGATCGATAGTCAAACAGATCACCGCCGTTGTTCCCGTGAAGGATGATGACTAAGACGGTATTGGGCGTTTCGGGGCTTTGTTTTGGTCTTTCATTCTCCGAATCAGTTTTTTTGGGAGGGGGGGAGGTGGTTTCGTTTTATTTTCCGGGTTCAGTTGGGAAAATTCCCTAGCTTTTGGCATTTGGATGTATCCTTTCTCCATTTCTTTCTTCCCTTCCCCCTTTTTTTGCGTACCTTGTATGTACTCGAACAAACTGTCGGTGTGTCAATCGTTGCAGGCCTAGTGTATCAACCATGATGTATATAGATAATCTAGTATGGGATGGAATGATCGTGAAACGTTCACACTCCATAGACTAGTTACCCTGCTTTATGATTTCTGTGCTACTTGTCTAACAAGTGGGTTTCATGATGGTTACTGTACTACACAGTGCGTTTATTACTGCCAGATTATCGCCATGTTGAGGCAGGTGAAACAACAGCGGTGGCGTCTCGTCTACTTCTTGCTACTGGACGGTTCTTGATTGGAGAGTCTTAAGTGCTTTCTTTATTTTGGGGGTTTAGCGTGAGAATAAGGCATTCACGAAATGGTTGACGGGCAGTGGGGATATTGTCGAGAGCACAGTGATCATACTTCCGAGAAACGGTAGGTATTATGAATACGGGCTGTAGTTTGGAGAGCAAACCCCTTCTAGAGACGCTTGAAAGTCATCAAATGCGTTAAGGACATCAACGGCCATGTTCATAGCTCTAAAAGACTTTTGAATATGTTCACCAAATATTATCCGGGAATTTGAAATAAAATCATGACAGTATGATATCATGCCAGGAATAAACTCAATCATAAGCAATTTACTCCTCGTCCTCTTCGGCCTTCTGCTCCTCTTCCTCAGCGGCAGCCTCCTCATCTTCCTCGAAGGTATTGGCCGGCACGCTGTAGAGACGGAGAACGGGACGGTTGGGGTCCTTGATGAGAACGTACTTCTTAACCTTCTCCTCGTCCTCCTCGGCGTCCAGGGCGCGGATACGGTCGACAATGGTGCGCACGATACCCCATCCGTTGCCCAGGTTCAGGTTCATCTGAGCGGCGAGATCACGAGGCTTGTAGCCAACAACACCGAGGACAACGTGACCAGCGGCGGAGCGGGGGTTAGCACGGGAGACGAAACCGAGCTTCATGCCGTCGGCCTTGGCAAGGACGGCCTGGGTGGTCCAGCGGGCAAGCTTAAGGCTGTTGTTCTTCATCTCAGTGGCAACAACGGCACCGCGCTGCGACCAGAGCTTGCTGCGCCAGTCCAGAGCATTACCGGAGCCCTGGGCCTTGCTGTCGAACTCATTCAGGGCCTTGACGATCAGCTGCTGGTCTTCGCCGTTGACGGGGTTCTTCAGGAGGGCGTCGACTTCAGTACGGACAACCATGTTCAAAGGCTCCTCGTCACGCTCCAAGGAGAGATCGAAGCGGCGGTACTTGTAGGCCTTGGAGGCAAGAGGCTCGGTCTCCTCTGAAGCATTGTAGAAGGGGTTGGCGTTCTTCATGTCCAGCTTGGCATCCTGGGACTCGGCGACGGTTTGCAGGGCAAAGTTGTGGTTGATGAAGGTGGCTTCCATAGCAAGAGCGCTGGGAGTGTTGATGGACTCCTGCTTAGCCGAAGATTCGGCGAGCTCGAGAGGAGCGTCAATCGCATTTTCATTGACGGTTACCAAGTCGAGCGAGGCACCCTCACGCTTGTCGAAGTAGATCTTGTTGCCCTGGTGCACGATAACAATATCCCAGGAGTAGACACTGCGAGGAGCACACATAAGCATAGACAGGATATCGGAGGTAGCGAAAACGGTGGCTGAGTCCTTCTCGGCGAGCTCCTGGATGACAGGGTCCTGGGAGGTAGTAACGTTGTAGGCAGCACGGTCAAGAGACTGCAGTCTACGCTCAGCGCCCTTAACAGGGGCCTTGTCGTAAGACCGGTCGTAGTAGTAGAGGAAACCATACGAGTCGATATCCTCGCCCTCGGGGGTCTCTAGGTTCAGCTTCAGCAGACGGCTGAAGTCCACTTCCTCCAGCATAGTCCAGTCGGGGCGCACGTTGACGGACGGCTCACGAGTCCTCTGCGGCTTATCGTAGTCCTTCCATCCGAAGCGACGTCCACGGTTGCTGCGGCCGGCGCGGTTGTCGTAGAAGCGATCACCCTGGCCACGGCCAGCACCAACACGCTGGAAGCCAGCACGGCCACCTCTTTGGCCCGCGCCACGCTGGGCGCGGCCACGGAAGACGGTGCCACCACCACGGCCAAAGGTACGCTTGGCGGAGGTACGAGTGTTGTCAACGACCGAGAAGGAAGATTCATCTTCAGCAACCTGGATGCTGAACAGGTTGGAGGAACCGGCTCCGTACACTTGCTGGTCTGTTGATGATTGGTATGTTAGCTGCGGACCCGTATTTAACTGTCTTAATCAACTCGTACCCCTGAAATTGCGGTTGTAGGCCTGACGACCGGTTCTTTGGTCCTTGGACTCGGCAGTCCAGTCGGCCATGCGACCCAATTTATCACCCTTGGAGAAGGGAGCGTATGGGACGCCCTCAAGCATATTGTCGGTCGAGGTCGCGGGGCCCCAGGTGTCCTCCGCTGGCAGGGCCGCCACAATGTCGGCGATGGAAATGGGTGCCATGATGTCTGGAGATACTAATAGACCCAGAAATCGATTTCAGAACAACAAAGATATCTCCGCGCAGACGTCAGGGTATCTCGGCGGATGGTGAGATCACAAGCGGCGGAGAAATTGATAATTGCGGGTTGAGTTTTTGTGTCGCGAGTGGGCTTGTGGCTAGAATGCTTGGCTTGGTCGGCACTGCACCGCCACATCACGTGCGTATGGATGTGTACGGAGTATACAGCATTGTATACTCGGTATACTCAAAGGTGTTCCTAACGCTTCTCCTCATTAGGTACCCTTAGTGTGATTCTGCTCGGGGCAAACCTGTTTGGAATAACTAATATTGAATAAGAATCTATGGTGGAGGTGGAACTTTGTGATATGTGCTATCTCTGAAATCTGCTTGAAAGTATAACTTCCTTTAGTTCGTCCTTCATCTTTACGTAAAGGCATCTAGCTCCGCAATGCTTATCAGGGAACAAGATAGCATTGGGAAGTTAGAAACTCAAATTCTAGGATACCAAAGGAACTGGAGGCTCAATTGTCAAATGATTCTTTCATCCAACAAGATTTCAGGGGCGGAGAATACGATGACACATGGATATACGGTCCTTATCAATGCCCCGTCGCCTCCAATATTAGGATCTTTCTACATCACAGAATAGATATTATGCGTCACCTAGGCTAATTCTTCCGCTGCATTTTACCGCGCAGTTGGTGCCAAGACGTGGTAGAGACCAACGAGAGGCGGTCATTTTACCTTTGCTCTACCTATTTAGTACTGCTCCGCTAGCATGGAAGTGCACTGATGCCTTTCCCTCAGCTTCTGGGGCTGAATGCTGATCATCGGCCATAGTATTGAGTCTGATTGGTGCTAATGCGAGGGCTCCACTGATAAGGAACTGATTCTTTACATATGTCTCGTAGTAGTAGTTCCTTAGGGCTTGGCCACCGAACTATACGGAATAGGTAGGATGTGGTTCCGGCATTCGCTCTAACCTCCATTTCCCCCCCTAGTATCTATCGAACCATAGAGACAATTTATACTGCATGGCTCCACAATATCACCGAAATGGGGAAAGATCAATGAGTCAGCCCACCGGAAACAATTCGGTTCCTGCATGGAGATCTCGATAGTGCTGGGATCTACGGAGTATTCGAGTAATTGTTCTTGTTGCCTCATTACACCACACGGTACATTCTTACCTACGTCCCATAGGATTCAGTTGACTCTTATCAAAGTTGAATAGTTTGTGGATCAAGACCCCATCTAGGAAGGCATCTGCCTCTGGAACTACATTTTGGTCCCAATCTTTTTGCCAAATGCCGACTACTGAAGCTGACCTCTCTGTTCGTTCGAGATAACGATTCTAGGAATACCATTGGACTATCATGTCTTTACCTTTTTAGAGAGGAGGGACGTAGCTGAAGAGCTCTATCCGTGAAGTCGCTCTTGACCTCGAATATATAAAGCGAACAAGAACCCTTTCAGATGCTTCCCTAGAACATCTTCAATCCAGTAAACCAGCAGACTCAGACTCGAAGGCCACTTCCTCATCCCTCCATCTATCTTCTCAAACAAGACCACTTTACCGACAAATACAATGAAGTTCTCTACCGTTCTCTCTCTCTTCATCTCTGGCGCAGCCATTGCTTCGGCCCTCCCTTCCTCCACCGAGACTGTGGAGGCCGACTGTATCAAGCCATACCTGTGCTGTGGCGAGCTCAAAACGCCCCTTGACTCTACTGTTGATCCGATTTTGAAGCAGTTAGGAATCAACGCCGCAAGCATTGTTGGTTCCATTGGCCTGGCCTGTATGTCCCCATCTACCACGCGTGCATTGTGGGAAAGTTTAAGGAGGTGGAACATTTTTCTAACCAATCCGTAGGCCATGCCTGGGATGATTCTTGCAAAACTGCACCCAAGTGCTGCACTGAAGCTAATCTCTTGGTAAGTTCCTGCTCTCCGAGAGGGGAAAAGTAACGATAGAAGTGTCTCATCTAACATGCATACATAGGGTGGCACAATTGCTCTTGGATGCTCAGACCTCGTCAGTGAGCAGTAAACCCACTGAAACATTTGTTAGCCATTAATGCGGATGGAGTGGTTGTGCTGTACATCTGGGGTGAATGAGACGATTCTAACTTGTCTAGCTGATTTGTTCATGATAAACTTTTAATATCATATTGCGCCTCATTTAATCACCTCTGCTTTTCGAAATCTGATCTCTTGTTCGCTATGTAATATTTTGAGCCTCTCTTTATATGTTGATGTTTTCTGACACTGCTAACTAAGGAGAGGAAAATATCGTATAAAACAGACGTAATGTCACTTCGCTCCTAGAAAGGCACATATACATACGTGAGGATTATAGCCAACGAAAGCAGTGAGAGATAATTCTGTGATAATGGTAAAAGTATAAGTAAGAAAAGTGGCAATAGAATATAACCTAGGACACCAGAGGAGGTTTCATTGCGAGGGAGAGGTGCAGCAAGTGAACCTCAATCGAGGCCACTTTCTAAAACGTAAACTGGGTGTTTCCTGCCAAAGAGACTGCGTTTATACCCATGGTGGTCAAGGTTCGATCTCCAAGAGTGCAATGTTTTGGCCAGAGCTTTCAAAATGAGAATCAATATGTCAGGGTCAAGGTACAGATCTTTGCCGAGGCAGCACTTCGCTAACTCCCAATCTCGATCTTGTATCGACTTTATCAATTGTCGCAAATGACTTCTCCATCCGTGATATACGAATTTCACAGAGGACCTCCTCAATCTTTTCCAATATCGCTCAAGTCAAAAGTCATGAAGATTCAAGAACCCATTCCGTGCAGTCTGTCTGGAACAGACTCAGTTCAATCCTCACGAATAACGCCACTGATATCCTAGGATTTGCAAACGAGATCACTGCGTCAGGCCTGATACCCCCCAGAGTACTGGCATGCCTGGATGGCTACGCCACATTGACCTCAATTCAATTCACCGTAACAACCCATCCTCAGAAAACTTGAGCATATACCCATACAAAGCAAAGAATGATGCGCCTTACTCCATTGCGGAACATACTCTCCGGGCTGCAATTCACATTCCTAGATCATTCTCACACAAACAGGACAAGAAAATACCGGTGCTTCTGGTACCAGGAACCGCTGTTCCTGCGGTCATAGTCTTCTATTTCAACTTTGGTAAGTTGAGTAGAGCCTTACCCGAAAGTGAGCTAGTTTGGGGTCGATCTTCCTGGGGCCTCGTTAGATGACATTCAACTAAGCTCTGAATAGGTCGCCTATGCGCTCAATTATGTTTCGGCCTTGACATCATCTAAGATTGCAGTGATTTCTTGGTCCCAAAGTGCACTGGATATTCAGTGGGCACTGAAGTACTGGCCATCTACCCGAAACGTAGTAAGCGACTTCATCGCTATCAGCCCCGACTTCCATGGGATAATACTCAAGTGGCTGGCATGCCTGTTATTGGATAAGCTAGCATGTACTCCTTCGATTTGGCAGCAAGGGTGGGATGCAAACTTTATACAGGTCTTGCGGAGCAAAGGGGGAGACTCTGCGTATGTTCCCACGACCACCATTTACTCTTCATTCGACAAGGTTGTGAGACCCCTGAGTGGGGAAAATGCTTCCGCTCGGCTACTGGACCACAAGGGGGCGGGCGTGTCCAATAACCAGTTACAGACCATCTGCGCAAATATGACCGCTGGTGGCCTCTATACGCATGAAGGCGTGTTATACAACCCTCTTGCATGGGCCCTTACCGTTGACGCACTCCGTCACGATGGGCCTGGCAATATTACGCGAATCGATACCCAGAAGGTCTGTGAACCAGTGCTTCCGCCATATCTCGAATTGGCTGATATGCTGGGAGGATAGGATAGGATAGGATTGGACTTCCCAGTGTGGAGCTTAGATGGGCTTACGTAGATCCATGAATGCCAATCGTTAACTTGAGACACCTGAGAACAAAGCTCATGTTTGGACTCGGATAGAGAGTAAGTAGCCCACTTATCTGATCCTGTAGGACATTCCGGTTGTCGATCACCTCTTGAAGCATTAGGAATGTTCCTCGGATCAAGTGTGTCAATTGCCGGTAAATCATGGCATTATGTCTTCGAAAATTGAATTGATTGTCTTCAATTTCGCTAAACGCCGCCAAGATACCTGACAGCGCAGGATAGATTGATTAGGGCACCGTTGAACCACCCTATTCGTCAATTCATTATTCGAGTCCTCAAATAGTAATATAGGCTCAATTGAGGGAATAGTGTGGCATGGCGTGCTTCTTTTTTTTCTACTTTTTAACTGAATCAAGACATTACGACGCTCAGGAGGGGCACAATCCACGACTTCTCCGGAAAATGCGCCGTACGCAATCCACCGTCTACTCCGTCCTATCCACCATGTCAAAGACTGGTAGAGGCGTTTTGTGAAGAAGTTTTTCCTGTTGGTCCGCAGGCTCCACTCGTCCACTCTGCCAGCACTGCCAAGACTGTCCGTTTCACTCAATCGTCAGCTTCCATATCAGCACTTACGTTGTCACTGGCCATGGAGGTGCTCCATAGTAGCCACTCTTCTTTTGAAGTTTGTAGAGTGTTTTAGCCTATTCTTCTCCTGCCCACTTTCTCTCTCTCTCTCTCTCTCTCTCTTTTCTATTTTCTTTATTAATTTTATCATGTTTGCTAAGAAAGTACTACAATCTATGTGTGGCCGGACTCCGTACGGACTAACCTCAGAACGTCCGGGAAAAGAAAGAACTACTCCTATATCTCAATCGAGCGTTGGCTGACGACGACTATGTTCATGACCTAGTAGCTACCTCCTGGATGGACTAATCTCCCCTTTTGCTATCCTCTTGTTTGTGAATTCCATGGAGAACACTCTTAGTCGCTCATTCAATATGATTTTCTTCTTGGCCTTGGCTTTTCTTTGCTTTCGTAGTATTGTCGCGGCGTCTGATGATGATTTCATGTCCTTCGTGACAGTTCGTATGCCCAATTATCCTTGAAAGTAAGCTGCTGACAGGTCATAGCTCCCACAAGTTAGGGCGTTGAAGTTCGATATAACCTATCATGATCGCGACTCCGTAAGTCCGGGCTACTGGTTCGTTGCGCCTTATGGCGTGATTGATCCAGAGCCTCCGACGAAGCAATGGAAGCCGTGCCAAGTTGGCCCCTATATATACGATGCAGATGGTGTACGTTCATCCTGGATAATTTGTTTGTGATTCGCCAGAGACCAAAAATATGAAGAACAGAAGCTGCAAGTGAAACGCTGACTTACACCTCATCTATCTAGACTCTCATCTGGGCTGGATCGTGCTTGTATGACAACCGCAATATCTTCGATTTCAAAGCGGTGCCTAACATTGATGGCGGCTCTCACTTGTCATTCATCTTGCAGCATGCATATAGGACCAATGACATTGATAAGGGGACCGGATATGTCTTAGATCAGCATTATGAAACAGAGAAAGCCGTTCCGGTGACCAATGATCTCGGCGCATTCAACATGCACGAATTTAACATCCTCGACGGTGGGAAGACGGCTTTGGCTTGCGCATATCGAAACAAGTACATGAGTCTGGGTGACCTTGGTCGTCCCGATGAGTACGGTTGGGCTGTCACGGGTGGTTTTGTTGAACTGGATACGGCTACGGGTGAGGTGCTTTTTGAATGGGATTCAGAAGGCTACATCCCTATCGATGAATCTGTGAAAGTGGGCCCATCGACACCAGCTTCTGGCGAGCCTGGCTGGGATTACATTCATGTTAACGCGGTCGATAAGAATGCTGCGGGAGACTATATCCTCTCAGCCCGGTTCACGAGCACTATCTACCTCATCTCCGGGCAGGACAAAAGTATTATCTGGCGCCTTGGTGGGGAAAAGTCTGATTTCGTCCAAGACTTCACATTCTCCAAGCAGCACCATGTTCGCTTTGTCGAATCTAACGCCACACACACGACCATCTCGTTCCTCAATAACGCTTCAGACGAGGTCGAACAGGAAGAAAACATCTCCGCTGCTCTCATCGTGCAACTCCACACCAGTGTTTCCCCGATGACCGCGAAGGTCATTGAGCGATACAACCGTCCTGACGGAGACCTTACTCGGCTGCGCGGAAGTGTGCAAAAGCTGTCTAATGGGAATGTCTTCGTTGGTTGGAGTGAACGAGGATATCAATCTGAGCACTCCCCCGACGGCAAGCTTCTTATGGAAGCTGGGTTTGCTTCCTCTCGCTTCTCCACCTACCGGTCGTACAAATTCGACTTCACTGGTCGGCCCAGTGCCCCGCCGGACGTGGTCTCGTCCGTCTATGGAACAGACGAAACCGATCTCACTACCATTTTCCACGTGAGCTGGAACGGCGCAACGGATGTTGCTTCGTGGAATCTCTACGCACGGGTGAACCAAGACGGGATGCCTGTGCTGGTAGGCAACACCACCAAACTCGACTTCGAGACGATGTACATTGTGGATGGTTACCTAGATTGGGTCTCAGTGGAAGCTGTGGATGAGGACGGAAACGTCCTGGGTACCTCCAAGATTCAACGGACCGAAACCCCGAGTGACTGGCGACTTGCCGGGTTCCAAGGCGACATCATGCCAGCACCCCACGACCCATCGATTCTCTATGGGGACAGAACCATTGCCGAGGTCGATGATGATGATGATGATGATGATGATACGGAAGAAACTGAAGAAGTCTACTTGAAGGCTCAGGAAGCGGCCGAAACCATCTACAAGGCATGGGAGGTCATCCGAGGGGTCGGCGGCCTTCTCATCTTCGTCCTAGTTCTATGCTCTACAGGCGGGCTCCTGGCGGGTATGTACTGGTATTTCCGGCGGCGCAGTATGCAGGCATACCACGAGGTCGCTTCCGAGGAAGGCCAGCCATTGAACGAACGCTCTATCTGACTGTGATCCTGTCACCAAGAAAGGAAAAGAGAAGCCACATCTATGGCTCAAGCTTAGAAGTTTGTATACACGGCATATTGCAAAGCGTCAATTGCATACCTCTGACGTTGTATTTTTCTAATATTGTATTCCACATTCTGTCCTCCTATCTCCCTCTCTCTTTCCCCCCTTTTATTCTTTTCCTTCTACGATTTACGTATACATCGAGAATAAACCTGGACACAGGTCAAAGCTTAGTCATAGTACTGATACATGAATTGTTTCCTATCGCAGAGTATCTTTTCTGTTGTTTCTCTAATGAAACGAAAAGGGCAAAAGACAATAAAGAAAAATAGAAGACTAGAAGAAAACAATCTGTATGGTGAAACCCCAGTGTTGTAAGCAGGTAACTTTTCCCCAAACCATTCAGCAGTGCTGCCATTTTCAAAACTGCAAATAATACTATGACCGGATCACACCCAAATGTTTAAACCACTAATCTTAAGATCTTTTTTGCCTTAATCGGTCCCATCAATTCCTTAGACAGTCGTTCATCCTCCCGAATTTGGAACATCTTCGGCTTCATTATCCTCTGCTCCAGAGCGCGCGCCACTGTCCGAAGTTTGTCATCTTGAAATCTCTTCATTTGAAGCTGAACACCCGCATAATCTAAACCACCGTCATAGTAGCCGAACAGCAGAAGCGGCATAGACCAGAGTTCGCCAATTTCCAGTCGGATGGGCCAATCGTAAATGGCTAATCTGGCATGTAGCACTTTCAGAGATGCACAGGCTGATGCCATCTCATCACATGCATTGTACCAAGCAATGTCACTGCGGATCTTGAATGTGCGGAACGCTGTCAGTCGCGGCTCATTGTACATGATGTGATTGAGTTCTACATGCCGGATAGCAGCCTGGCAATCCTTGGATGTAGTTCTAAGAAATCGTATGATTGGATTCGCGGAACTGAATATGAACTGCGCGGTCGAGTATAGCAAAAGAACTGTCTCGCAATAAATAGTTCGACATGTGAAGACAAGGCCAAATAAGAATGGCGTGTGCCTGGTGCGGTGGCCATTATGATCCACTACCTGTGTAGATGGGTTGCGAGGCTTCTGCTGACGATGGTAGAGCCTGTAACGAGCTGGCCTAGACGTGTCGGTGTTTTTATCCTTGTGACGGAGAATTTCTATACGATGTGGCCCGAAAAGGTACTGGTAGATCTGCCAACGGATCTCTGCAGGAAGACCCAAGAACGATGCAGGCTTTGCCGGTTCCCTGGAGGGACTGGTTTTCTTTCCAGAAACTAACGGTTTGTTCTCTAGTACCTTTTGCGCAGATATCGAGCATTTGGAGGCAGGTTGGAGGAGCAGAATCCTCGGAACTGGTGTTGGGTAGTCCGCCTTCTGTCGTTTAGTATTGGTTTTCGAAGCCAGCGGAGATCCAGGCGCACGCTTGCTACTGGTATACTCTTGCTTTGGCCCAAAATGATCTGGAGCCTCTATGTTGTATACATGGTTTCGTGGTGATAAACGGACGGCGTCCAGCTTCTGCGGTTGGTTTCTTTTCCTTGTGTTTGATGCATTCGCTGGAGCCTGGGCTAATTGCGGCGAGCAAGGATTGGTGTTTTCCTGAAAAGTATCGTTCATTATGAGCTAGAGACAAGATATAGTATCTAACTTACCTTTGGATTTGATCGATAGAGAGCTCTTCCGTTATGCCGAGTCTGTTCCGTTAAGTTGGGGCTATCGGTCAATAAAGATGATGGATGGCTCATGTTAAGGCGAGAAGTTCCTTCTCCAAAACGCGAATACTGAGGTTCCTTTTCAAGGACTTTTTCGGCTTGGTCAAGAGGTCTTTGATCCTTCTTGCTCTTGCCTCGTCGACTGCGAGGTGCACGGTTGTTTCGACGGCCACTCCTCGCTGAGTCTGCCATGGTTGTGGTAGTAATTCAAAAGCTGAGATCTTTTGGCTTAAGTGATACAAGTGTATTCTGAATATTGTAGAAGAAAGCATTGGATTTGAGAAAAGGCAGGTAGCATAGATGTTTAGTCTGAAACAGGAGAAAGTGGAAGGCATTCATATAAATGGCCCTTGAGTGGAGAGGTTATGTATGTATGGGAGTAGGTTAGTAGTATTCAGAATAGAGAGATGAAAGGGACCAGTGACAATCATTTCCAAAAGCTAGGTACATTGTCTCAGATACCGTACTGAGGTCTGTTGAAAATGACTTGTGCGAGAGTGAATGAAAGAATGAATGACTGTTATACTTCATTTGTGTATACTTCAGTATCATTCATTTTGTTACAGAGTTATTTACCATACCAAAAATACCAATTCTATACACACTATTCCTCATGCGGAAGGCATCTGAACCCGGTCCTCCAGGTATCTTGTCTGTGTTTTCTTTTTTCGGAACTATCTTTTCTAACTAGTCTCTCTCAATCTTCCACTTTCACTCTTTCAATCTCATATAATACTCCTCAATTCCTCTTTTCCAGATGTCTCCCTGCTCTGGTGTCCTCCGCAATCCCGCCCTCCCAATTCGCTCCCGGGTAGCCTTCTCTCTCAATCAAGCCGCAAGATCATCATCCCGACCCCACCACCTCCGGCACCAACAACACCACCGCCCCTATTCCTCCTCTTCTCCCAACTCCTCGCAATCCAACCGCTCCCAATTCAAAATCCTTCCATTCCTAGCAATCATCGGCATTGGCTCTGGATCCTACATCTTCCTCGTCAAGTCGCGTACCGGCATTCACAAACCGAAACCCGACTCTCAATCTCCTGATTCCTAAATTACCCTACACCCCCCCCCCCCCCCCTTTTAAGAATCTGTCTACTCTCCGACTAAAGAACCATGGCCGACACTCAACATCCCACCCCTCGCTTCTCGACCTCCGAAGTCACGGTTGTGTTCCTCCTCGGTGGTCCCGGAAGTGGCAAGGGCACTCAATCCGCCAATCTCGTCCGCGACTACGGCTTTGTCCATCTGTCGGCGGGTGATCTGCTGCGCGCCGAGCAGATCCGCGAGGGAAGCCAGTATGGTGAACTGATTAGGACTTATATCCGGGAGGGCAAGATTGTTCCGATGGAGATCACGGTGGCGCTATTGTCGAATGCCATGGCAGATGCTTTGAAGAATGGTGCTGGTGCCGGGGAGGGCAAGAAGGCCCGGTTCCTGGTCGATGGATTCCCACGCAAACTGGATCAGGCTGTTTTCTTCGAGGATACAGTCTGTCCGTCGGAGTTGACGCTGTTTTTGGACTGCCCGGAGGAGGTTATGGAGAAGCGCCTATTGAAGCGTGGAGAGACCTCCGGCCGTGATGATGATAATGCCGAATCCATTCGGAAGCGTTTCCGCACTTTTGTTGACACCAGTATGCCTGTTGTGACGGCCTTCGAGGAACGCAATAAGGTTGTGTCTGTGTCGGCGACGGGGTCTGTTGAGGAAGTGTATGCTCGTATCCAAGATGGCTTCAAGGCTCGTGGGGTCCATCAGCAGTGATCTATGTCTATTATTATGGGTATCGGTGTCAGCGATCTTTATATTTTCCTTACTGGGGGTGTGGATAGCGCTTTATAGATGGAGTGGTTTCTTTCTCCCTTGCATACAATGTCTACGTCTTAAAGTACATTATAGCCGGTTTATATATATGAAGATATAATCCCAATGGTATATCACTTCGTATATGCATGACATGACTCGTGTCCATTGATCGGGCCCAATCCTAACTACATGCCAGGCGGAACCTGTCTAGAAACAAATAGCTACCATGAACCGATAAAAATGTCGCCCGGAGAGAACACATGAACCAAAGAATAAACAATCGAAAGAAATTGGAAATACAACATAACACCTCTTCCCAGCCATTACACGACGAACTTTTTCTATACTTCTTTTCCATTCTCAATGAGTATCGTGGTGTTTCCTTAAGAGTAAATTACTCCGCGGCAGCCACCTCCTGAGGCTGCTGTTGCTGCTGAGATGGTTGGTTGTTGCCATGGCGCTGCCGACGATCTCCAGACTTGTTACCCTTGTCGTTCGACTTGCCCTGAGCGGCTTCCTCTGCTGCTGCAGCGGCCTGCAGGCTTTCACGAACGAAACGCTCCCGCTCAGTACGAAGGACGCCCAGAACGTTCTCGAGGCTGCGGCGCCAGACCATCAAGCGACCCTGCACTTCCGCCCACTGCTTCTCGCCGAAAACACGGTAGGTGGCGCGGTGTACCAGGAATTCGGACCGCAGCTGAGACAGCTTACCCTCGACCAAACCAGCACGGATTGTATCGATGACCCATTTCTCGACATCTTCGGCCGGCACACGCAGAGCCGCGGCGATCGTGGCATAGGGCAAGGAACGGGAAGGGGCCGAGGCGGCCAGAGAGGCCAAAGTCAACAGACGCATCTTGTTCTGCAGCGCTTCGCCAGCGTCGGCCAGCACACCACCGGAGATGCCTGCCAAGGGAGTGGCGGTGACAAAAGCCTCGTAAGCGTCGAGAGTGTCGGCCGTAAAGATCTCAAGAAGCTCGAACAGAGTGCTGTCGCTGGAGCGAAGAGCCTGGACGGCGTCCGAGGCCGTCAGAGGGGTGAAGTCGAACACAGCGGGGTGGGTGAGAGCGGAGGTGAGAGCGCGGATGGCGAGGTCGCGGGCCTCCTTGGACGAAGCCTGCGCGGCTGGAATGGTCTGCAGAGCCTGCACAATATGAGTCTGCGCCAGCTCCGGATCGCCCGCAGCCTGAGCGGCATCTGCAACAGCGAGATGCAGGCGCTGAGCCTCTTCCTCATCCAACTCCCAGGAGGACAGCCAGGTGGGCAGCTGAGCGGTCAACTGAGGCTTGAGGGCTTCGAAAGCGACTGTGGAGCCGGACTGACGAATGACTGCGACAATACCCAGGAAGACATGGAAGCGGCTGGAGTCGGTAGGAGCGAGGGTGTTGAAGATGGTGGAGAGGATAGAGATGGCCAGCGAGGGTCCGAACTGAGCGGAGGAGGTGATGGGTTTAGCGAGGTAGGAGCAGATGCGGGAGAGAAACATGTCAGGGTCTGAGGCGTAGTGAATAAGATGGACGAGAAGGTTGTAGGCGGAGATGATCTCTATTTATTGGCGTGTCAGTTTCTGTTCTGTCATGCAGTTTGATATCCTGCTCCTGCTCGCTTGGACGATATGTTGGAGGGACGACCCACCCTTCTCTGGAGCATTATTCAACACGGACGCCGCCGAGACCAGCTTCTTGAGAACCTCATCACGCTGTTTCCGATCGGGCTCAGCGTCACTCTGTTCCTGCTGGCGGAGGGGTTCCAAGAGCGGGGAGATTTCGGCCTGAATGGAGGTGGTGCCTTCGCTTTTGCGCAGTGCGTCGAGGTACTGGGCGAACTCGTCGGCGAGTTCGCTGAAGGAGCCCTCGATGAGGAGGGTAGTAGTGGGGGCGGGCATTCTGACGAGGGACTGTGAGGATGACAGGCAAAAGAAGTAAAAAGGAGGAAGAGAAGGGGAGGAAAGCGAGAGTTGAATTCCGTCGTGGTTGTGGTTGGTTGGCGGTGGAGAAATTTCAGTGTGGGAAAAATTCTTGGCGCTGATTACGATGGATCAGCGTTTATAGTGACGATCGATTGTAGATTCTTGTATAAAATCAGCAAAAAAATAAACAAAGATTTTCTATCTCTACATTTTACGATGGTCCCATTGCAGGAACTTACTGACTTATCAGCGAGTCTTCAGAAGATCTTAAAGAACGACTATTATTCTTCCATATGGAGTATCATCAACTAGACTCGTGAAAGGAACGACTAAAAGCACGCACAGAACGATACAGCTCATTAACCGCGACATGAAAACAGGGGAATAGTACGATACGGTAGGTCATAGACGCAAAGCGAGATAGGAGAGAAACAACATCAAGCACAATTTTTTTTCGAGAAGGATCGCAGTGGCGCATTCCATAGTCAGAACTCGATCAAGCTATGTGCGTGCAGTGATACCAGAAACTACCATCTTACAGAACGAGACGGAGACCCAGAAAGAGTACCGTTGCCAAGATACCCGTGGCATGGTCCTGGGCCATGCGCACAGCGGCATTAGCGGTAGTGCTGCTTGTGCTGCCACTGCTCGTCGCGGTGCCAGTGGATGAGCTTTCGCTTTTGCTAGACCCCGAAGAACCAGTCGAGGTAGGCAAGGACGTGGTCGTACTAGTCGATGAAGACGAGCCAGAGGCATCGGACGCATTTTTCGAACCACACTGGCTTTGGGCCTCCTTGCATTTCTCGTCGCCGTCAAGGTCAGTAGAGCGGTCGATGCACTGGCGGTAGTTCTCCTGGCAGACGAAGAAGGGGATAGTTTCCGCGTAAGGCGCGACGTCAGCATCGGTGCCATTGGAGCATGTGCAAGTGAAACCAAGAGTTTGCTGTGACTGTTAGCTCATCTAGAGCTCTCCAACGCCGCAGGTGTGTAGTTTAACCATACCGGGTCACAAGTGTTCTTATCAGCAACTCCGCCGCAGATCTTAGGGCAGGCGTTCCGCTCGGCCTGACACCAGGCAGCTGAAGATACTCATTAGTTTTTCGGCCGTACCGGTGGATCATGCCATAGGCATGTTGTACAATCACGACCAGGACGAAAACCTACACTTATCCGCGGGTTTCACCTGGTTCAGATCGAATCCCTCAGGGAAAGTATAGTTGCTGGCGGTGGTCGCTGCAGTAGCGGAGGCCACCAAAGTGGAGAGAAATACGATCGGCAACATAATGGTCGTAAATGGAGTTTGGGGGTTGTGTGTGTGTGTGTGTGTGTGTGTGTGTGTGTGTGTGTGTGTGTGTGTGTGTATGTATGAATGTATGGATGGATAGTAATGAAGTCCTCAATCGATCAGTAAGGCTATGATATGGACCAGACGCGAAAAGGCGAGTAGAGGATGGCGAGAGAAGAAGGTTGTACAAAAGCAGCTGGGGGGGGGGGGAAGGAGATAGAAACAATTCTTGAAAGGGGAAGAGAATTGGCAGGAGATAAAAGAGAAACCACAAGGGGCGAAACAAGGAAGAGGAAAGAA